ATTAAAATACATTTCATTTTCAAAATGTAATATCTATGGACATTGTGTGTATACATATTTTGGGGGGAATATATACATATATATATATATATATCTTGAGCACTCTCAATTACTTAAGAGATACATTGGTCCAGAAGGAAGACATACAAACCATGGCTCAGATCTCCTTCTTATCCTTTCATAAATGCATGACTTTAAGGAAGTTGAAGTCAGTTAACTTCCCAGAATATTCATTGTTTCCTCCTGTAAGGACATTGCTTGACTCATGGTCGGTGCTCAGTAATGCTCCAAAATTCTTATAATTTCTAGTCCCTACCTGTTACTTTACACTTCTGCCTTTGCTTATGTTATTCTCTTGTTTCCCCGCTCTGGTGTCCCCCTGATTCATCTGACTAATCCACCTTCAAACTTGACGATGTTCCCCTCAGAGGCCTTTCTGTTGCTCCTCTTTCTTTCTTCAACACTGTACATTCTTGTTGCCTTTGCATAGACGTATTCCTCTGCCTGGGTATATCACCAACTCCCTTTCACTTGGCAAATTCAGTTATTTTTCACCTTTCCACTCAAGTGTCATTTTTCCTTGAAGCAATAGCTGACTCCGTTATAGACTCAAATTTTCCTTCTTTAGTGTACCCCAGTTCTGTGTATCATTTGTCTCACATTGTCATCATTTAGTTTCATGGCTCTTTACCTTTTAAAAGTATAAATTCCTCGAGGGTGGGCATCAAATCTTTATCTTCCCAGGGTGCCTGCCACATAGTATATGCTGATTAAATGTCTGTTTAGCTGAATGAATCCATAAAACAGAATAGTAATGTATGCCTTTAATATATCACAAGTTTGTTGTTAGGCAAAGTAATGCATTGTTAAGACTTTGTAAAATTAAATACTAAAAATATATTTTCCTTGCCTTATCAATCAGTTGTTTGCTATAAAATGCTTTATGATTAGGTCATGGATCTGGGAGCCAGCTTCCTTACATCTTTTTTGGATCGTGAATACCTTTGAAATTTGAAATTTGACAGAATTCGAAGGGTCTTCTAGGGTTGGGGGAGGGCTGAGAATTCACCTATATAGAGCATTTGGCACACTGCAAGGTTCACATATCTGAATTTCATCACATTCTGGTTCATGCAAACCAGGTTGAGGATCTCTTCTACAGTTTACTTTATACTAAGTTAAAAAATTATTGTTCTAAAGGTTCATGATAGGTCAGGAGGTAGAAAGGAGCTTAGTTAAACCTCTATGCTCAAAGGAAACTTAAAATGAGGCAGAATGACTGAATGTTTTTAAGGGATGTTTATTATGAAAGTGAATTAAAATATCAACTTTAAGAAGCAGAGACACTAACTTGAATTGTGGGAAATTCTGGCAAAAACTGGGTACAGTTTATTCAACCAAGTACTTAACTGTGTGAGTTTTCAGCAGAAACAGTTGATATGGGAGGGGGCAAAAACCCTGTTGTAAAATCTTGTTTTTCTTCTTTGAACAGGAGACATCTAAACTGGATACAATGGGCTTCCCTCGTCATTCTATTTTTGTGTATTGTGGCCCTCACTGCTGGGACCAAAACATCGCAGCATAACCTAGCAGGACATGGATTTCACCACGACGCCTTCTTCAGCCCATCCAATTCCTGCCTTGTTTTCAGAAGTGAGTGTCCCAGAAAAGACAATTGCACAGCGAAGGAGTGGACTTTTTCTGACTCTAAGTGGAATGCCACAGTCAGGGTTTTCAGTCACATTCGTCTCGGCTTGGGCCATGTCCTTATTATAGTCCAGTGTTTTACTTCTTCAATGGCCAATATCTATAGTGAAAAGATATTGAAGGAGGGGAAGCAGCTCACTGAAAATATCTTCATACAGAACAGCAAACTCTATTTCTTTGGCATTCTTTTTAATGGGCTGACCCTGGGCCTTCAGAGCAGTAAACGTGATCAGATTAAGAACTGTGGGTTTTTCTATGGCCACAATGCATTTTCACTAGCCCTTATTTTTGTAACTGCATTCCAGGGCCTCTCAGTGGCTTTTATTCTGAAGTTTTTGGATAACATGTTCCATGTCTTGATGGCCCAGGTCACCACTGTCATTATCACAACAGTGTCTGTCCTGGTCTTTGACTTCAGGCCCTCTTTGGAGTTTTTCTTAGAAGCCCCATCAGCTCTTCTGGCTGTGTTTATTTATAATGCCAGCAAGTCCCAAGATATGGAATCTCGACCTAGGCAAGAAAGGATCCGAGATCTACGTGGCCATCTTTGGGAGCGCTCCAGTGGGGTAAGTTTGGGAAGATACTGCTTTTTGCCTGTTCTTTCCAAATTCAAAGGATGGTGACACAGGAATAGAAATAGGACCAGTGCTGATTTATCAAAGGATGTATCATATCTCTTGACTTTAAAAAATTATTCAACAAACATTTTTTGGTCTCTTTATGTGTGTGCAAGGGCTCATGATAATGCTGTCACAGTTCTAAAAAAAATATAAATCATACTCTCAAGGACCTTATGCACTAGTCATATTAGAATATTATAGAGTCACGGAACTGGAAAGTGCCTCCCAGATCACCTTGTACAGTCTCCCTAATTGTACAAGTAAAGAAGCAAAACTCAGGCTAAATGCAATATTAAGTGAAAGACCTGGTACTAAACCCATGAGGTGTGACTCCTCCTTCATTACTCTTTCCACTCCACCATTGTTCGGGAAATAAACCTCCTTCATAAGAAAAATTCAACATTAGTAAGTCTTACAAAATAAAAGTAGAAAACCTGGCTCCTTAATTTTCCCTGTAATTTTTCATAAACCACCATGTGCTAGATAGGCAGACATTGTTTATCTCATGAAGGCGGCGATTTTCAAAAGGAACCTATAAGAGAAAAAATTTTCTAGAAAAGTACTTGTGCAGTTATTCTGAGTATTATTTTGCCAGTTGCTTATTGTTTTAGGAGGGTCTGTCAGTCATGTTATTAGCAAATAAATGATCTTTTGGAAACTCAAGGAGTTAAATATTTGTTAAAAATAAAAGTTGAAATAGACTCATCAATCTTGTTTTAAATTTACAATTTTCATGAACACTAAATATGAAATACTTTATGCAGTAAACATTTCATTCTTTGGAAAAATTAATCTCTCTTATTTGAGTTCGTGGTGGTGCTTTCTTCAGTATTGCTTCTGAAGTGGTGATACAACAGGTTCCCCGGATAAAAAAATTAGAATCTTGGGTTCCAAATGCCCTGATATCAGCCAGAATACAGATTCAAAAGTGTCCTTTTCCAGTGGTCTGATAACACTGTTTGCTGTACTTTTAAGGTAAAAGAATATCAGTTTAGGTAACAAGTCCTGGTTTGTATCTTTCTCCAATCTTTAGTCATTTGCTTTCAAGACCAGCAGAGGGTGCTCCTACTACTATGCTCAGATTAACTGAAATTCAAGTACTGAGTTTTATTTGTTTTTCATCATCTATTATACATCTACAATTAGCTTTCAAAAAACTTAAGTATTTATTTAATTTCCTTTGACCATATTATATGAAATAAAATCCGTGATTTCTGAGTGAGCTTTCTCCTTGGTAATCATTAAAAACACTACATTACTACTTTTGTTTTAATTAATGACTGATCTTATGTTTCCTTTTAGGATGGAGAAGAACTGGAAAGACTTACCAAACCCAAGAATGCCATTGAGTCAGATGAAGATACTTTCTAATTGGTACTCAAATAGGTGGCACGTCTCACAACCTTGTTTCCACATTTTCTGCATGTGTAATATTTATCTTTTCACTTTGATAAACCAAGAGTGTTTCCAAAGTAAACTGCCCTTTGCATATATCTAACTACTCTCTAAACAGTTTTCTCCAAGGCTTAGAATACTCAAAGGCCAGAAAGGTCTAAGGAACTGACATGAGAGTTATAGTATGGAAACTGCATTAATGGCCTGAAACTTGATAAATCAATAAGATATATTCACAGATTATTTTCCTTGTTGCCCACGGTTTCAAAAACCTTGTAATAATCATAGCAGCTGTGCTCGATCGATATATAAACACAGATCAGTTTGTCAGATATTAATAATTATGTAGTTCTATTCTGTTGCCAAAGTCACCCCTTTTTTATCATTATGAACATCACCTTGAATTTTGAGGCCCTTGAAGCTACACATTTTGCAATTGAAAAGCAACATGACTCTTTCTAAAAAAATTCGTTGAAAGACTGCCATCTGGCTACAACATTGATTTGAGTTTAATGTGGTCTATGCTAAATGTTTTACCAAAGAAGCAATTTTTCAGAAACAAAATCTCAGAATTTTAATGTTTAGGAATTCATAGAGAATTTGGTTTTTAGCGATGATCTTTTTTTATATTCTACATAAATAAGCTTCAATTTAGGTGAAAATTGATTCCTAGTCACCAGTTATCACTTGTATTTTAAATCACTTAAGCCATGTGTTGTGTTTTTTTCCCTCAGATTGACCTTATAATTCTTGGATTATTATATCTTGAAGAACTAAGAAGAAGCCAGAGTTAAGATAATTATATATCATATCCACTTCCTCAGAGTGGAAATACTGGCTTCAGAACCATACCAGATAAGAGTTCCTTTGAAAAGGGTTACTCTGCAGACAAATGATTTTTGCTGAAAATATGAATAGTATTACTTTAAAAAGAGGAAGGCCAATAATAAAGCACTTTATAGTAATAATATTTCACATTTCAAGTGCATGTTATTTTTCAGCATTTTTGCATGCAGCCAATTGACTCTGAGGTAGTGATAGATAATTTAAAAAAATAAGAAACAAGTGACTTGCCCATGGGCATGCAGCTGGATGGTGATGGGATAAAAGTTATCTTTAGCTAAAAGGCCATTGTGTTTACAGAACCAGACACTGAATGTGAACCTTACAGTGTCATTTTCATGCGGTCGATTCATCTCTTCTTTCCCCTAATTTTTATACAGATGAACATAAGGTAATACTATTACATAATCCATTTGTGACTGGCAAGAGTTGGTGGAAATTTACGAATAAAATAATTATTAAACCTATGTCTTGTGTTGCCATTCTGTCATGTGAGGTGGGATGCAGAGTACTTTTAATTTCAAAAAATGGAGTGAGGCAGAGACCCAAACGACTTTTAAAACTTTCTCTTTCAGTATATCTTGACTTCAGAAAATAGAAAAATTGTTCACCTTATCATATGCCTTTCCATCAGAGTTGTAGAACAGGAAGATTACATTATTATAACAACTTTA